CAAAAAAAAAAAAAAAAAAAGAATCATCATGTGTGTGTGTGCACGTGCGTGTGTGTTGATTTGTATCCAGTCACTTTCATGAATTTACTTGTTCTAAAAGTCTTCTAGTGGGGGGCGTCTTCTTATGGAAAAATCATAAAATCTGCAAATAAAGATAATATGGCTTCTTCCTTTCCTATTTCCATTCCTTCTCTTGCTTGATTGCACTGCTAACATTTCAAATACTACACTGAACACGAATGGTAAGTGTGGACATCCTTGCCTTGCTTCTGATTTTAGAGGAAATACTTTTTTCCCATTCAGCATACATAGTGTTGGAAGTGGGTCATGAAATTTTTATCTTCGATTCCATTTATGTGTCCCATTGTATCTATTAATTTATGTATGCTGAACCATTCTTGCATCCCCAGGATGAAGCTGACTTGATCATGGTATATGATCTTTTTAATAAATTATTGAATTGTGTTTCCCAGTATCTTATCATTATTATTATTATCACTTTTTGAGACAGGGTCTTGCTGTGTAGCCCATGCTGGCCTTGAACTTACAATGATCCTCCTACCTCAACTAACTCTCTTATTTTTGCGTCCTTGTTCATGAGTGACACTGGCCAACAGTTTTCTTTTTTGTTGAATCCTTATCCCACTTTGGTATCAGGCTAATGTTGGTTTCATGAAATGAGTGTGGAAATATTTCTCATTATTCATGGAAAATTCAAGAAGTTCTGGTATTCTCAAAAGTTCTGGTAAGATTCAGTTGTAAACTTAATTGTGTTTGGAGGCTTTTTTGGAAGCAACTTCATTGCCAGTTACTGGTTTGTTCAGGGTTTTTACACCTTCTTGGTTCAATTTTGTTAAGTCATACATGTCTAAGAATTTATCAGGTTTCTTCTAGTGTCTCTTATTTATTGGAATATAAATTTTCAAAATAGTTTCTAGTAATTCTCTGGATTTCAATTGTAATTCCACCTTTTTCATTTCTAATTGAGTTTTCTCTCAATTTTTGCTGACATTTATAAATCCTTTCAAAAAACAAATTCTTTGACTCATTGATCCTTTGTATTTTTTGTTCGTTTCATTAACTTCCTCTTTGATTTTCATAATTTCTCCAATTAACAGATGAATGCACAAGATGTGATATAAACACAATGGAATTTTAATCCTAAAGAGGAAAAAACCATGCCATTTATAGGAAAATAATGTAATTAGAGATCATAATGCTAAGTGAAATGTCTGACACAAAGTTAAATATCACATGGTTTATCTTTTATGAGCAACAATATATAAATATATGAATAAAATAGAGGGAATATGGTAGGAAACAGGAAAGCAGATTTTTAGTGCTAGGAAAGGAAATTGGAGGTAGAGGTGATGTAAGGAAGTGGGCATAAAAGGATTGAAAGTGATTAAGATATGTAATACGCATGCACCAATCCCCAATAATAATACATTATTATTCTGTTTTGCAAATATACTGTAATAAAATGACAGCCTATTTTATAACATATAGAGACCTATAGATTTTAGAGAAATGAAAGTATATGAGGGAAGATCATAAACTTTTCATGGAGGAACTAACAATAGATGTTACTCAAAACAAGGTGTTGCTAAATTGAATTTAAATTGTGTTCATTAGGTAACAGTGCTAAAGATAATCCTTTTTTTCTGAATCAGGATGGTTTTGTTGTGCACTTGCAGGAAAGAAAAAAATTCTGCAAATAAATAACCCAGTCCTTGTTGAAAATTCCTCTTAGTTCTTAGAATAATACACTGTCTGATAAGAATCTCTCTCTCTTTTTTTTTTTTTTTGGTGCTGGGGATTAAACTTGGGTCCTTGCGCTTGCAAGGCAGGCCACCGAACCGCTGAGCTAAATCCTTGGCCCAAGAATCTCTCTTTTACACAGGCAAGAATATTGATACCTTGATGTATATTTTTAAAGTATATTTTATTAGTGCCTATCAATTTTATAAAATACTGAATTTGAATTCAAATAATATATTTCGATCATATTCATCTCCCATTGTCCTTTAGTACACCCTTCCTCTTATTTCCTTCTACTTGTCTAATGGTCTTCTTTCTACCTTCATGTCATCTTCTTTAGATTAAATATATTATGGAGAACATGTGATATTTGTCTTTTTCAGTCTAGCTTATTTTGCTTCACCTGATGATCTCCAGTTCCATCCTTTCCTGAAAATGACAAAATTTTCTGTATAGCTAAATAGCTTACATACATACACACAATATACATCACATTTTCTTTATGCATCTGTTAATAGGCAACTAGAGTGGTTCCATATACTGGCTATTGTGAATTGTGCCACAATAAACATGGGTATGCAAATATAGTATGCTAACTTTAAGTCCTTCAGGTATATTCAAAGAAGTGATTCTGCTGGGTCAAATGTTTTTTCAGGGATTTTCATACTGATTTTTATAGGGGTCACACTACCCCTTTACATTTTTACCAGAAGTGTAGAGGGTTAGTTTTTCTCTGCATCCTTGCCAGTATTGTTTTTTGTTTTTGATGGCCACTCTGACCAAGGTTAGGTGAAATCTCAATGTAGCTTTGACTTGAATTTCCCTAATGACTAAAGATACTGAATATTTTTATATACTTATTGTCTATTTGTACCATTACTTTTGGGAAGACTGGGTTCAAGTCATTTGCGCATTTATTGAGTGGACTATTTGATTTTTTTAGTTGTTTATACCGTCCATATAGTAATCTTCTGTCTTAAGAGTAGTTGGCAAAGATCTCCCATTCTGTAGGCCATCTCTTCATTGTTAGTTATTTCCCTTTCTATGAAGAAATTTTTACTCTGATATGGTCCCATTTGCTTATCCTCACTATAGTTTCCAGTGGTATTCAAGTCCTATCATTTGCCCATGCTTATGACTTCAACTATTTCCCCTCTGTTTTTCTATAGCACTTGCAAAATTTTAGGTTTTCTATCCCAGTCTTTCATTCATTTAAATTTGAGTTTTATACAGGTTGAGAGTTAAAAATTTAGTTTCAATCTTCTATAAGTGGATACCCAATTTTCCCAGCACCATTTATTAAAGTTACTACTTTTTCTTCAGTGTATATATTTGGCAACTTTGTCAAGAATCAGATGGTTGTAGTCTCACTGATTTGTTTCTCTATCCTGTATTTTACTCCACTGGTCTGCATGTCTATTTTTGTTGCTTTGGATACTACGGCTTCATAATAAAATTTGAAATCAGGTATTGTGATGCCTCAAGGCTTATTCTTGGCCATTCAGTGTCTTTTGTATGTCTATGTGTATTTTAGGATTTTTTTTTTTCCTAGTTCTGAGAAGGACACCAATGGAATTTTGCTGGGGATAGCATTGAATCTGCAGGTGGCTTTGTAAACAATATTAGTGCTCTCAGTCCACAGACAGAGTCTAGTGTCTTTTCAACCGCCTTCTGCAGTGTTCTGTAATTTTCTTTATAGAGATCTTTCAACTCCTTAAGGTGATCCCTAGGTATCTTGCTTTTCTCTGAAGTTACTGTGAACAGAATTGTTTTTCTGATTACACTGTCAACTGCTTCATTATTGCTGTATAAGAAAGCTATTGATTTTTTAGTGTCGACTTTGTATCTTGCCCAATAAATATTTATTTCTAATAGAATGGCATTCTTTGTATCCTACACTGGTTTTCATAATTCCTGTTAAGGAAAGGAGTAAGTTGCACCTTTACTACTCTCCACCTGTTTTGCTTTTAAAAGATGACCAGGCCTTTGTAGAGGAGCGCAACAATAGCTTTCTCAGTCTTATATAGAGGTACTTGATTTGACCCTTTTCAAATGTCCTGTAATTAAAATACTTTTTTTTCACACCAAAAAATTACAAAAATTTCATTCTTACTTTTCTGGCTTTTTCAAAGTGAGAAAAGCTCATTTAAACCAGGTGTGGGATGCACACTATAATCTCAGTACTTAGGAGGCTGAGGCAGGAGGATTGCTGCCAGTTCAAGGCTAGCCTGAACTACACATGAGGCCCTGACTCCAAAAAACCAAAATGAAAACGAAATAACAAAAAAGGTTGAAAACTTGGATAAAACAATATTGTCGTTTGTTACCTTACTAGCCCAAACTGTATACAGCTGCATAGGGGGTGAGCTGTTCTGATATAACAGAACTAGAAATTCCTCTTAATGCTTTCAGGAGGTTTTAGAATTGGAAGCTGAGGCTACTTAGATTCTTATGTTAGTGGTAAGGAGAAAACTTTCTCCCTTAGTGAGGTTTAAATGTCACCTGCTCCCCAGGGCCAGCTTTTGTCTTCGTCATGAATGCTGAGTGATGGACCATGGTCCTTCCTCTTACCTTGCCTTACTGAAAATGGAAAACGAGTATTGCATCACTTTTTCCCCTTTAGCTGTCCATTGTGGATTAACAGAAAGGACAGAAACAGCTCTTTAAGTTTTCAGGGATGAGCATATTTTCACTAAAAATCATAGTTCTATTATGTTTCCTTTTGTGTGTGTGTGTGGTACTCGAGATCTAACTCAGGTCTTGTACACCTCCAGCCACAGCTTTCATACTGATCCCAGAATATCTTACAGGTGAGTGGTCATTGAGTGGGGCATATGTGCACGAATTTTACAATTACACACACTGGGTGGCCTACAGCAGTGTCTAGGAACTGGGTGAAGGCTGTGATGATCTATTATATGTGGTGTGTTACTCCATCTGGAAAGCACACTGTAAACTGGACACAGATCTCCTTGTGAGGGCACCTGGAGCAAAATGAAAAACCCCTTCCTAGGGGAAACTTTCAGGATGCTTGGCTCTGATGGCATTATTGCAAGAACAAGAGATCACCTGGCACTCCGTTGTAGGACTGGTCATCAGGCAGCTGCCAAGAATTTAGGAAATGAGGAGTGGGGGGAGGAGCAAGAAAGGTGATGGCTGAGCGAATGAACAAGAAAACAGAAAAGGAGGCAGGGAAAGAATGACTCTACCAATTCTACTCATGCCTTCATTCTGACCAGCTCCTCTACTGACACACCCCGACCAGTTTTCACTTATTGGAAGCTAACAAGGACTTCCTAGCAGACAATGACATATTTCCTTTTTCAAGTATAAGAAACCGTCTCAAGCATGAGGGCGATATGTTCAGGGCGTTGTCAGACACTGTTACCACATTTGAGGAAGGTGACCTTCGTTCCTACCCTACTAAATCTCATATCAAAGTTACAGGGATTTAGGGATGTATTAGTTATCTTATGCTGTGTACTGGGTACTTTAAAATATAGTGGCTTAAAAGTACATACATTTATTATCTCAATGTTTTGCTGAGTCGGGAATCCAGGCACGGCCTAGCTGTTTTTTCTGCTTTAGATCCTTTCAGGAAGTGCAGCCAAAGGCTTTCATCTGAAGGCTCTACCGGAGAAGAACATGCACCCATGTTATGTCTGCACTTTTGGCAGGACTGTTCCTTGAGCCTGCTGGGTTGGTGGTCTCAATTTCTCACGGGCTGTGGCTGAAGGCCTCTCTTGGTTCCTCGCTTTGTGGTAGTTTCTCCACCAAAGCTAGGAAAGGCGAGATTCTGCTAACAAAATAAAACTTACAATCTTTTGTGAAGTAAAAATGAAAATGATATCCCATCACATTAATTTTATTATACTGGTAAACTACTAAGTAAATCCCTAAATAGAGCTGACACTTAAGGGGAGTATTACACAAATGTGTGAATTTCTGGCGGCTCAGCAGAGAGTTCTTAGAAGTCTTTGTAACCCAAACATTTCTTCTTGGAAACCCTGCTCAGTTCTTTGAAGCCAGAGGGGAGGAAGCTGCTAAATGGTCTGCATCCTCATTGGTACTGCTGTCATTAAGCGTAAAATCTTTTAATGGATGCTCAGAAAGGTAAGACAAACATGGAAAAGTATTCAAAGGAGAGAGAAAAGCGTAAGGAGTAAAAGTGATGTGAAGTCATCCTAAATAGTAAAATGAAAGGAGCTCTTAGAGCTGACATACCGGTGTTCAGACTTAGAGGTGAGAAGAAATTCAATGCTACAGGGTTCATCCTGGCTTCACAATGTCTTCATTGTCCTGGATCCCAGACCACAAGCTTAAAGAGGCGATCTTCTGGTTCTGTAGAGATGTCTAGGCTTATAAAAGAAGCAAATACTATAGGTGAGAAGGCTGAATTTCTGTTCTTATTAATAGATTTAATTTAGCATACCTATATTATCAAATTATACTTGCACAGCTTAAATATCAGAGAAAATGAGTCAATTCAGATGGTGTAAAGCTACTCCAGAGAACTTAAAAGCATGCTTTCCATATACCCAATGCCTCAAGGACTCTTTTAGAGACATCAGGGCTTAAGGAGCTTGAGGAACTGGTCTGGGGTCACATACAAGTCATGCCTTTTTATGCACAGATTCTTGTTTCTATTCAGAGAAACATTAGATGAGGCAATAAGCCAAATTTGCGCTCACAAAGCATCTAGGCAGTGATCTCTTCAACATGAAGTGGAAGCAAAAGTGGTCACACCTAAAAATTATGCAAGGTCACCAAGGCTTCACTGTGGGCGGGAGTCACGCTGACAAGGACCCGAGGAAGCAATTTCTTCTATAGAGATTCTTGCTCTCCTACTTCGATGATGTTCATTTTGGCAGAATCATTTACCAAGCTACTGACTGTTGTATCTACTGTCTGCCAAAGGGGACTCCCAAAGGAATCAGAGTTAACTTTCACTGTGTTTTTCCATGGAACTCTGGGCTCTTGGTTAACAACTTTCGCATTTTCTGATTCAAAACAGGAGCTTTCAGCACCTTTGGATAGTGCCATCCAGATTCTCACGGGGTGTGGTACTTAGCTGGGTGTTCTTCAGAGGGAGGTATGCATTGAAGATGGGGGAAGAAAGGGGGACAGAAGAGAGATCTGTCTAATGGTAGCAGTCACTCTAGTGACTCGAGAATAAGGACATAAAGACGGGTTCCTTAAGAAGATGTGTCCTATGCAGAAGTCCTCTAGGAAGCCGCAGTACATGAAACGTCCTACTTAGTGGGTTAGCCTGGAAAAGGGAATCAGGAACGGAGAGCTCGTTTACATTGTGAGGAATTATTCACCAATAAATGACAGCAAACTCAGCTGACTTGAAAAAGCTGTTTGGCCTTGGGCACTAGGGTTGCTGTTAGACCTCAGCTGATGCCATCAAGATCCACTTTAAATCCTTTTTTTTTAAATGCTCTATATTCTAGGTAGGTTTTATTCTAAGACTGAGCTTGGCAAGTTCATAGCTCCAGTCTGCAAGCTCCAAATGGAGAAGCTTCAAGGGGAAAATGGATTGCTTTCCCACTGGTCCTTTCAAAAGCCCCCTTGTACCTAATTTCCCCAGTTGCCTTACATGCCCATTTTTAACCAACCACTGTTGCAGAAAACATGGAAGGATTGTTTTCACTAATTTTGAGTTATACTTTATCCTTAAGAGTGTTAAGGAAATATAACTCCACTTGCCCATGGGCTGAAACAGAATAAGGTTAGCTCCCCAGAGAACAGAAGGAATATTTCCAAAAGATGAGTGAATCCTGGGGTGCAGAATGAAAACAAAAACCAATCGGATGTCTCCTATAGCACTCTCTTCCACTTCTAGTTTTGAGTAGACAGGTAAGGACCACCACAGGAATGAGCAACAAATAGGAACATTCATCATACAAACTTAAAAATACCCCAAACACGTCTAACTCCACCTCTCCTTTCCTGTTTCCGTCCCATTACTTACTGAAAGAGGTCTCCTCAGATACCTTTCCAGGGTAGGATTTGTACATACTTTTCACTTCACACGTGTGTGTTGAAAATTTTAACTTAATTATCTACCTTCCAGACTGACACCATCTACCACATGAGAGCTAATGCCCAATATTTACTAATTAGTTCTTCGGGTTCCACCCCACCCCCACCCCCACCCCGACAGTCGTAACGGAATTGAACTGAGGACCTCGTGCTTGCCAGGCAGGTGCGGTGCCGCTGAGCTACACCCCTAGACCCCTAATTAGCGTGTTGTAGAGCTCAGAACTATCTGGCAGAAGAGATTTCAGTAGGGTGGCCCACCCTGCCATGTTTTGAGGTGGCGCAGGGCCTAAGGGGCTCTCTGTCGTTCTTTTTTTGTTTTTTGTTTTTTTTGGTACCTCGGGTCCTTGCGCTTGCAAGGCAGGCCACCGAACCGCTGAGCTAAATCCCCGGCCCTCTGTCAGTTTTAATGGTGGCGATGACGACTCCAGATACTCAGGTTTCTATATGCTTCTTCTTCAATATCTGGATGAAAAAGTTAAAACTTGCCTGTACAACGAGATCTGGCGAAGGTTTCTTGCTCTCCTGGGGCACAGCTTGAGGCTACTCAAAACCCACGGCCTGGGGAAAATGACTCTCCTTAGAGTGACGATCTTGACTGTGAGGCCCAGCCTATACCTGCAGTCTCCTCTCTTCTGATGCCTAGTAACAGGTGCCGGGGAGAGCCGGTAAGATGAAGAGCTCTGTCCAAGAGGTTGAGCCTACTGACCCGGCTCAGGTTTGGGCCTGTGAGAGCGCTGTGTGGGACGAGCCTGTGCAGGACACGTGAAAGCACTGCCCAGACTCCTCGGAGGGGTCCCAGAGCACCCACAGGAGACACAGAAAGAGTAGTGAGTCTGTGGCAGGAGATTAAGGTGAGACGCAGCAAGTTCGTGCGAGCCAGCAACAGCCGAAAACAGTTCCCAAAGCCCCGGATTGAAGGCCAAACCGCCCCGTGCTTGGGGCCAATCAGAGTGCCTGCTTCAAGTCTTCTCGCGAGAACTTGAGCGGGTTTCTGATAGGATGGCCTCGACCTGACCCCAGCCGAGGAGAGAGACAAAAGGACAGCTCTCTTTCCCAGAGGTCTATCCTCACCCTGTGCAGCAAGTTTTTTTCCCCTCTGCCTTTAATAGATGTAGAACCTAGCTATGTTTCGTGCTTGTCCTGACCATTCATTGTTCAGGACAGAAGGAACTTAGAAAACAGGTCAGAAGGTCACCACCCTCCCGAAACCCCAGAATCCTGCTAAAGGCCTCCGCAGTCCCTGTGCCAGCTTGCAGGACCGAAGTCTCCCCAGGGCAGGCACAGAACCTTTCCTGGCTCCCTTCAGGATCCAGGTTAATGAGACAGGAGGCTCTGCGGCAGACAGAACCAGGCTGCTCTTAAAAAAGCAAAACCCCAGGTAAGTGTCGTTAGTGGATAGTGATGCAGTCATAAATTTATTGAGGGCCTACTCCGTGGTTCTGCTCCTTATTGGACAGGAGCTCTAGCTTTGACTTCCTAAGAGGGGACAGGAATTGCTTTTGTGACTGCTTTCTCCTTTTGAGAAAAGTTCTTTTCAGCTTTAATTGAGTTTATTGGTACATTTTAGGGATACAGTACAGTTACATTCATTGTTGGGATCTTGTACCTCTACATGACAAGTCTTGGTTCTATTTTTTCCCCTTACCCCTGCCCTCCCCTTTTGAGAAATTTGAAAGATACAGCAAGTAATACAAAGAACCTCATGCATTTCTATTCCCCAAACTATTACACTGTGGAGGGAATGAAGGGAGGGCAGGAGGATGGAGGAAAAATGAGAACCAAGATACATCATGTAGAGGCACAAGATCCCAATGATGAATGTGACTGTACTGCATAAATAAAAATAATGAAAAAAACCTGTTACATTGTTATTTGGTATTTAAAATATACTATGCATATTTTTAAATTGTTTAAATATTATGTACTTAAAAATACTATCACACATTTTATGTTTTATAAACTGTCAAAAATAGCATTTTTGTGCTAGCATGCTATTTAACTGTAAAATTTAAAATTTTGTTGACTTTGCATAGTTTCTTTAAAAAATAATATTTTGCTTTACCATGATTGTTCAGAGCTGTACTCGCTTAAAAACTACCCTATTTCAAACAGCATAAAACTATTCCTGAATGTTTGCTCATTTTGTAGCTCAGGTTCTTCCCCTAGTTTATACTTTATGTGTATGTGTGTGTGTGTGGGGGGGAGGGGTATTAGGGATTGACCTCAGAGCCTTCATGCTGAGGTACATTTTCAGCTCTTTTTTATTTTGAGACAGGGTCTAGCCAAGTCACTAAGTTGTCCAGGTTGGGCTCAAATTTGAGATCCTCCTGCCTCTGCCTCCCCAAATGCTGAAATTATAAGCATATGCCAACACACACCCAGGAGCTTACTACTTTTGTTCCTTCAGTTTTCTTAGGTAAGTTATCCACCTGTGCAGTTAGCTATTTTAATCCTGAATTCTTCTCTGAATTTCAAGCTAATGAAATCAATCACTTGCTAAGTATTCAGTGTAAAATCTTCCCAAATTAAACCATTATCTTCCTCTGTCACTCACCTTCTTTTCCTCTTATTTTCCCATTACTAAATAATAGCACCAGGATTCCAAACAAGAAACTGAAGACCCATGGTATATATTTCTCTTACTGTAGCTAGTTAGCAACTACATGGATGAGATAGAAAAATATACTTACTGAACAGAGAGATTCTAGAGTTGTCATAGTCTTCTCTCTGCCTGAAAATAGATTTTAATAGTCTTCAGATCACCAATTGTATTTCTGACTTAATTTTTAATTATATTAATAATACTTGTTCACATTTTGAGTTAAATCTAAAATGTTCCTGCTATGGCTATCTCATTAAAAAAAATAAATATCTCTTTCCACATCAAGTTTTCTATTTCCTTACTTCCTATTTATATTATGATAAACTCTTCATTTCCTAATTGTTCAATTCAGTCTGTTACTGTTAGTATTTATTTTGGTGCTAAGATCATCACAAATTTAGCTATTCATTTTGATTTTTTTAAAAAAACCATATAGCTCTATCCTTTTATTTAGTTTCTGACATAAAAAATAGAACCAAGACCTCTCATGTAGAGGTACAAGATCCCAATAATGAATGTAACTGCACTGTATACGTGCAATGTACCAATAAACTCAATGAGAAAAAAATATTTTAGGCTCATGATATACTTTCCTTGTACCTGTCCTGAATTCAACTATTTTCTGAGTAACCCTGGTTCCTTTAATATACATATATATGTTCACACATTGAAATCATGATTAGTTTCTCTGGTATTGGCATT